CCCTACTATATATATCAGTTGTCTATGCTTTTCCTTCTTATTTTTTGTACATATTATACTTGTTTTGGGCTTAAAAAAGTACTAATTGACCGAAACATTTTCAATTTTAAGTGAACTCTCCCCCAAAAAATTGTGAAACTAATGGTCCTATGTTAATTAGTATTACTACCTTTTGACTGTACAAGGAGGCATATATCAGAATTCAGAGCACCCTTTTCCATTTTTTTTGTTAACTCTGTTGATTGGCAATCAAGCAGATCATACTACAATAAATCTGGTCCCTTAATCAAACCGAGGTAGCTGACGTAGTCACATAGAGACAGTACTTCTAATTGATCAGTAGGAGTAGTTCAGTACTGGTGTTGTAACCAGATGTCTTACAAGCTCCACTTTTTGTCTTCGCCGGATCCCCATGCTTCTGAATAGTAGTATCTGCTTTTTAGTACTTGATGTTTTTGGTTTAATTAGTAGTGTATTTTTCACAATGTACACCCTAACTTTAACTCAGTTTATTTTTTTCTCAATGTTTGGTTTAGTATTTTTCATGTCTCACCACGCCACACATTTTATTGTTGAATTTTTGTAAGTTTTAATAATGTGGTTTTCAGGATGCTCTTTTCCATGCTTGATCTGTAAGTTTCACAGTGTGGGATTCAGAATGTTAGCACACAGTTTTTAGTTTGTTTTATTAATGAACCCAATGGATCTGAATGTATGAAAATTCTCTTTTTAATATACACAATCCCTCAAGTTGCCTAAGTGAAGCTAAGAGTGCCTCAATGACATATAAGAGTGTCTACAACTATGTTTCTGTTTTCCTTCAGGTCATTGTTAAGTACACAGTAGATCGAATGTACATAATTAATTAACTTGGTGTTTTTTCGCTGGCTGCTCATGGATTGGTTTAGGGTTCCATTTCACACTATCTCTTCAAGAGATTTTTTAAATGGTTATTTTTTGCTCCTGTACATCGGGGCCCAGGCTTCTTTTGTCTTTCTTTTGCTTTTTTTGTAAAGTAAAAACACTCTTCTTTTCAAAAAGGCCCAAGAATGGCAACCAAAACAAAAGATTAGGACAGTGTGGGCCTGCCAAGGAAACCGGCTGCGGCGCTCCAACAACCAAAACAAACAACAACAAAAAAAACTGACAAGCAAAAAAGTGACAAGCAAAAGAGGCCCGTTATTGTGTTTTTTTTTACCCAGGAGAAGGACAGTGCGGGCCTGCGAGGGAAACGGGCTGGGACAAGAAAAGGGGATGTCATGCATAGGTCATGTGAATGAGACCATTTTATGTCTCATTCGAATGAGTTCCAGGCGCTCCCTAGATTGTTTAATCCGGTAGCAACCCACGGGTATTTAGCTAGTTTAGTTTGTTTGAGAAGTCCATCGACTTCCCTCAAAAAAAAAAAGTCCATCGACTAGGCCTTTCATTTTTTGAATGCATCGACTAGGTGTTGGCATGCTGTTACCCTGTGTCCAGCAGGCCACATATGCGGGTGCATGTTAGGAAAACGTTTTCAGGTTTTGACCAACCGAGATTCATGGAGAAACTGGAGCGGGAGGCCGATCGTGCGTGTTGCAAGTGACGCTTCCGTGGGAGTACGTGCGTGTTGCAAGTGACGCTTCCGTGGGACTGCGGAGTACCCCTAATATCGACCCACCGAGATCGCGGGAGCGGCAGTTTTTTCCATCCGCCAACGCCAGTCTCCTCCCGACGGCGCCGCCACCGCTTTCTTCCGTCGGCCATGTCCATCCGCTCAGATCGCTACCGCCGGTGGGAACGCCGCGCTCGAACTAGGTACTCGAATCACAACCTTTCCTCTTCACCACTGAGCACTGATCCCCTGACCTCTCTCCTCCGATTCTGTCCGCGCAGATCACACGACGGCGACACGCCAATCGAGAGGCTCAACGACGATGTCCTCGTGGAGATCATCTCGCGCGTCCCGTCCAGGCAGCGCTGGCGCTGCAAGCGCGTGTGCAGGCGGTGGCTGCGCCTCGCCAGGACGCTGCCCCAGTCCCTCGCCGGCTTCTTCTACACCAGCAGCAACAAGGAGCGCTTCCCGGAGACCGCCCTCCACTTCTTCAACGTCTCAGGTGGCCAGGGGGGCCGCCCTTTCATCTACCCCTCCTTCGCCTTCCTGCCCAGCCGCCGGCGCCTCGACCTCCTGGACTGCTGCAACGGCCTCGTCCTCTGCCGCTGGTATGGCGTCTCTGCCCCGGACGACGATGATGACGGGTTCCGCTACGTGGTGTGCAACCCCGCCACAGAGGAGTGGGTCGCGCTGTCGGACATTGACATCCCAAAAAGCTGCAAGGCCATCAACGTGTACAGAGTGCGTCTCGGTTTTGATCCGGCCACGTCTTCCCACTTCCACGTGTTTGTACTTTCTTGGGTTGGCCGCCACCGCCTCGGAGTGGATGTCTACTCGTCGGAAACTGGCACATGGGTTCACAATGAAGTGAGATTGGGTGGAGATGTCAACCTCTTTCATCATCTGAAGGGAACTGTCTTCCTCAATGGCCGTCTCCATTTTCACACTTTGGATTATCATGTCTATTATTCAGCTGGTCGTTGGGTGGGGAGGGGGGGTCCCTTCTATAGCTGCAGTGGACACGGACGGCGAAACATGGTCAGACTTTGGTTTTCCTAGACATCTGCAGCGTGATCTGGGTATGGAGGATGATGGTTTTATTCAGCTGTCGCAGGGCCGCTTGCATTATGCAAATATTACTCAGAGAAATACCGGTATTAAGACAGTACTTTACGTTCTCGAGGAATATGACAGAAGAGAATGGGTACTGAAGCATACTGTTAAACTTTCGGACATGTTTGGTAGCAAAGACTACGGGATCGGTTTTGATTGGGTTGCGATCCATCCAGAATGTAACGTGATCTTCTTCACCATGTGGTCAGGAAAACAGTTGATGTGTTACAACATGGATACTGGGCGAACTAGCCAGATCCGCACTCTTGAAGATGGCAGGTCACCATATCTGCCATATGTGCCGTTCTACTCAGAGTTACAATGTTTGTGCTCATGACATCAATGCATCAATGCGGGGTTGCTGGTGTCTTTATGAGTTTGATCTTTGATAGGAGTCAATTGTCCGTGCTTTGGAGCAATGCGCTTGGTATTTCTGCCTGAATTTGGTTCTCAGCTTTTCTTACTGGATTGCAGTAATGTCTACATGCTTTTATGTCTGGAGCAATGGTGCTTCAGTATGGAGCCAACCTGTGTTATCTCTCTTAGAATAGTTCTAAAAATTGCCACTGAACTTCCTGTTATATGTACTTGTTTGTTTCTGCATCCACATGTTCAGTTAACTTCACTCAGTTTTTTAGTAAATTTCTATGACCAAATGGTAGAAGACATGATTGATTACGATTTCAGCTTAAACTTATATATCTGATTTGCACTTTGGGAAAGCATAAGCATCTTATTGACAACTGACAGTATGTCTAATAAACTATCCTTTATCTGCTGATGATACAATTTGTGAAAGCATTTCCCTTTACAGCTAGATATGTGTTCCTTCATAGTCAAACATCCGGAATGAATACATCCTTGCTTTCTTCTCCGTTGATGCTAATTACTCATGGCATGTTTTAAATAGGAAGTAAAACATCCTCTTTACTTGTGGGTTTTGTTCAGTTAGGCAGGTTAGAAAGAGTTGGGTATAAGCGACCTGGTAGGCATTTTCCATGGTAGTTTTCCATGTTTGGTTAAAAATATCTGCACAATAAAACTGGAGAGCACTCCACGAGTCCAATGCACCCTGCTAGTACCTGTAATATACCGCAGTTTGCAAATCTTCAATGAAATTTTCGATGAGACTGGATTTTCTACTCTCAGGTGTACTACACCCGAGTTAGCAAAAAAGTTGAAAAAAGTTTATCAAGCAAAATCCAAAAATTCTGATATTTTGCTACATCAAACATTATCATATGTTTGAGGTTCTTGCCAAGTTTCATCGAAAAATAATATCTGAGGAGCTCTAACCAAAAAAAAAATCGCTGCTGAAAGTTTTGTGCACTGTTGGAGCAGTGATTTTGTTATTTTTGGTGAGAGCTCCTCATATGTTATTTTTAGATGAAATTTTGCAAGAACCTCACCCGCCTGATAATGTTTCATGTCCCAAAATTTCAGATATTTTGGACAATGTTTGATCAAATTTTTTCAATCTTTTGCTAACTCGGGTGTACTACACCCAAGAGTAGCCACTACTTTCCGATTTCAGATTCATTCGCATCGCTTGTTGGCTTTCCCATTAAGGCGTCATTGTTTTGTGGGACTTTCCATGTCCAAGTTATGGAAGGACGAAGCGCATCTTTGTCTATGCTTGCACTTCCCTTTCCTCCTTGCAGATTTTATTAACACAGGCGCCGTGTTCCATCTCCGGACGCAAATTTTCTGTAACGATGATATGTTTCCTCCGGGTGAAAATATGTGTAGGAACATTAAGATCAAGCTCACTAGTCACTACCAATTTTCTGGTATGCACGTGCAAAACACTGGATTAAAATTTTAAGATGTTTTATTATTTTCCTTTACAAAAGGATTAACGCTTACAAGTTATAAAGAAGTAAATACTTTCGAACCACATAAATGGGCAGCCATGAAGGTGTGTGCTAGTAAATACTTGCTTGATGCATTTTGCTCCTTAAACAAAAGGGGCATGTTGCCATTGTTGAAACCAAAATCTCTGGACTAATAAGTACTAGTAGTAGCTGAAAACTCTTAAAGGTGCAGGCAGAAGTTGGAATAGTCCCAGGACGAGGAGCTACTGCTATGCTGCCATTACTGCGTCGCTTCGTGCCATCCCACGACGCAGCCAGGGCGAGCTAACTGGAATAACGAACAGAATCCGCCAAGGCGTGAACATATGCACGCTGCATGGCGGACCCCTTATTCAGCTAAGAAAAAACAGAGTTTACAGTATGCAACTCTTAGAGAACATACACGGAATGGATAAGCACCCAAACATTGAAGAACACACTTAGCGTGGTAAGCTGGCAGATGATATGAACTCTTGCTCCAAGCTATAGCATCGTTGGTCGTTTGCGGTGACTGGATCAACTCTGTTACCGGAGTGAGATGAAACACCAGCTTCACCTCTACCATTATCTTGAGTGACATGGGATGACACTGAACGTTTCTTATGCAGAAGCTGCAAAGACATCTCCACTTCCTTCATTGTAGGCCTTTCTTCACCCTGGATCCGTAGGCACATCTCCGCGAGAGAGGCAACACTGATAATTTCTTCCTCGGTTGCTTCTTCACGAACTTGAGCTGCGACTATCTCTTTTACTGGCCTTTGTTGCATCTCCGCAAGAAAGTAACTAGATAAACTCTGGGCTGAGCCTGACTCACCCGTAAAAACGGGCTTCCTTCTGAGAAGTAGCTCTAAAAGCACAACACCAAAGCTGTACACATCACTCTTCTCATTTAGCTGTCCAGTGTGAAAGTACTCCGGATCCAAGTACCCAAATGTGCCTTGTACGTGTGTGGTAACGTGAGTTTGATCTATATGCACCAATCTCGATGCACCAAAATCAGAAACTAGTGCAGTGTAGTTTGCATCTAGGAGTATATTGGAAGACTTGATGTCGCGATGGAAGACTGATATAGAAGCTGCAGAGTGGAGATAATAGAGAGCTCCTGCAGCTTGCGCAGCGATTCTTAGGCAGTCATCCCAGGACAACGAAAAAGTGTTGCTTGGAACAGATTGAAGGATTTCAAACAAGGAACCATTCGGAACAAAATCATACACTAGTAGTGGGACCTCAGTTTCAAGGCAGCAGCCATAAAGCTTTACGATGTTTCTGTGGTTAATCTGTGAAAGGATGGTGACCTCATTGATGAATTGATCAATCTCACCTTTCGCAATGACCTTAGATTTCTTTATAGCCACCACACGCTGGTCAGATAAGATGCCTTTATACACCATGCCATGCCCTCCACGTCCAAGGATTCGTGTGTGATCAAAGTTGTTTGTTGCCTGCTCCAACTCTTCCAGTGAGAAAATCTTTGTTCTTTCACTTGCATATTCACTCGACGATATTAGTTTTTCTAGAAGGAGGCCACGATTCTCTGTAAAATACTTCATCCTTAGTTGCTTCTGGAGATCTCTTCTCCACATACGGAGGATAAACATTGCACTTAAGCCAAGTAGTAGAAGCCCGAAGCCAATACCAAGCCCAATAGCGATACCTGCAATGAGTGGTGGCACACCTTAATATCGGTTCCATGTATACTTGTGCCTCTGCTCTAGTGGAACTTAATGGAGTACGAAATTCACCTGATAGAGTAATTTGCTTTCTCGATGGAGCGCACTTCATTTTTATAGCGTCGTATTCACCAAGGCACTTAGTACAGAAGTAACTTCCATTAGTGTTGTGGCATACTCCACTACAAATGGCAGGTACCTTGCACTCATCAATATCTGGAGATTCGGACAAAATCAGATACAAGAGAAGAGCTCTTTTAACACCATGTTTATGTTACTGAGCTCTTTTAACACCGTGTTTATGTTACTGAATATCCTATATACCTGAGAGAGTCATCTCCACACTAACTGATTTATCATAACATGCAAGCATACCACATCACCATATAATTATGGATGAGAAAGGCCGGCCTTAACATGCAACCATGCATGGGAAAAGACCCACCACCACATACAACCATGCATGAAAAAATATTTTTCATTCTATGATTTTACCTATATTAAATATATATTTTACAACTATGCATAATTAAATATAATAAATTGTATGTATTTTTAATGTTGCTTCATGTGTTATAAATCTAAATATTTATATTCCACACAGTGAAATCTCATTGAACATCTACACTGTAGCGGGGAGTACCTTGACAGCTATCGGGGCCAATAACATATGGATTTCCTGCATAGCCATCATCGCATTTACAACGATAACCAATTGCTGTCGAGTTGACATGCAAGCATTTGCTATTGAGGCTAACACATGCATATGTGGACTTATTTCGAGGTGCCTCTTCACAAGTTAGATTTGCGATGACCAATTGAAGTCTCCTTGAGTCTCTATCAACAATGTAGAATGGGTCACTGACAGAAAATAACGACTGATCTTGAGAGGTATCTTCGGTGTCGAAGAACCCTTCAGTGATATTGATGGTTGTGATATATGTCTCTGTAGTTTCTAATAGTAATTGTAGCGTGAAATATGGAGTGCAGCGGAGGTAAAATTCAAACTTTGCAGCACATCCATCTTCTAGTCCAAATGGAAATGGAACCTTTATTTTACCACAAGACCGAGTGCACTTCACATTTCGCCGAGCTGATGGATTGTACCCTTTTTCCAAAAAAAAAGGAACTTAAAATGATTGTAAGTGAGATACTCTAAAATAATAACAGGAAGATTAGATTCGAACATGTCCATCGATATAAGTGAATCGGTTATTACCGTGATCACGCGAGCAGCCACCGACTACATACGGGTTGCCCATGTACCCAGCATCGCAACGGCATGCATAACCAGACATGTACATGGTATCCACGCACGAGCTATGGTTGCTGACGCAGGCAAAGTTGACCTCATCTGCCGAAATGGCAGCACATGTACGTTGATCATTTATATTCCAGTATATTCGAGCTGCCACCCAGGCAATTTGGTGCTGCACCTGCTGGGACTCCTTGACGGGGACAAACTTGAGCCGCACGGCATTGGCAACCATATCAGGGTCTGAGACTGGTCCGAAGCTACATTTCTTCCCGTACATATTTGTGCCCGATTCGTCCGAGCCTTGTTTGTCGCACAATGTAGTAGTAGTGCAAATTGGAATATCTGGATTTACGTTTGAATTTCCAATCAAAAAGGTGTAGAAGTCGCACACATTGATCCACAGCATGGAGAGAGAGAAAACAAAATTGCTGGAGGGCGTCTTTAGTGCTGCATTGTGCATTTCAGCACCTGGTCTCGTTGAGATGGCAATTGAGAAGTTGATATATACACCTGACAATGCAAAAGGAAAAAGAACACACAGATTATTTAAAAATATACCAGTTGCCCGATTTTTCCCCATTCAGTCACTTTTGTTGCCCTTGCGATTTGAAAAACGCTTCGCTTCTACACGCTGGCCGAACCGTTCGGCTGGTCGCTAGCGCTCGCTTCCTCTTTACACACGGAGACAAGCTGGCACGTGTGTTTTTCTTTTCTTTTCTACTTCTTCTTCCTCCCACATCTGTCAGATCTCATCTCGTCATCCACAGTACGAGCTCGCTGGTGTCGACAACGTGACCCCCCGCTGCTTTCATGGGCGCTCGCCTAATCTCATCCTCGCCGTGACTGGCAAGCCGGTGGCAGCTGCTCGTTGTTGCCGCAACCACGTCCTCGTCATCGGCGTTGGGCATTTGCGTGCTACAACCATGGCGGGGAAAGTGCTCCGGCCGGTGTCGTGCACAACTACAACCATGACGTTGCGGTGCTACAAGCGGCAACTGGCCGTGCTAGAACGAGCTATGGAGCATGCTGCAACCGTGAGTCAAAATTGCTACATCACGAAGGCCACGTGTTGGGACCGGACACCGGAGCTGCATCCAGCGACATAAATTGCTACATCCGGCCAGTGGCGGAGCTTGCAGCAAATTCCTGGGCGGGCTGGGTAGGCTAAATTGCATGAAATTGGTATTTCCTCGGCCCATGGGCCGACTATAATAGAAGGAGGTGCTGCAAAGCTGGGCGGGCCATGGCCCATGTAGCCTTGCTGAAGCTCCGCCAGTGCATCCGGCGTCGATTTTTGCTGGAATTAGACAAGCGTTATCTACGAGCATTGGCATGGCGGAGCTGCAACGGAAAATGCTACAACCATTGTACCAATTTGCTACATCCGACATTCTTTTTTGCTGAAATCGGTCGAGCGTCTGCACGACGGAGTTGAATCCATGAAAAAAAATGTTACAACCGGCAAGAGTTTTTGCTGGAAGCAACACGAGCATCAGACGGCTAGACGATGCCACCAGAGTTGCTACCATGGGGCCATGAGCCCATCTCTGCCGGAGCTACGGCCATCTTCACTAGAGTGGCAACCTCCACCACCGGAGCTACAATCGTCGACACACGTAGCTGCAACCTCAGGGTGTAGCTATTGCATGGGTGGAGCCAGCAGTGAGGGCGACGACGATGGCCTTGACCGGCCACGAGGCCGGCCGAAGAGGACCGTGAACAACAACGAGGACGGCCGGCGAGGGCGATGTCCATAGAGCACGCGCCCTGGTGAGATCGACAAGATGCGGGGAGGAGGGGGTCCTTCATTCGGACGGATGAAGACGACACAGTGCATCATACGGCTACAATGCACGAAATTGTATGTTCGCTGGCCGATCGGCCCATATTTGGGCTGTCGCGCGGCGCTTAGTACTTCTCTTGTGATTTTGAAGAGGGAATATCCTATTTGCCGCTCAATGCGGCAAAATGTCGAGGCGACGCACAGGGACATCGATCGAGTGTTCGGGCGTAGGCCGGCCCGTTTCGAAGATTCCGGTTTTAGGAACCTTCTAGCTTGTTCCCAGCCGGTTTTTTCAGGTTTTGGGAACCTTCTAGAAGCTTCCTAACACCTTTTTTTTCTTTTTTTCCCTTTTCCTTTTTCCTGTTTATTTTTCTTCTCTATCTTTTCCTTTTTTTCCTTTTCTGTTTTTTCAAGTTTTAATTCAATATTTTTTCTTTTTTTCCGTTTCTTTTCTTTATTTTTCCTTTTTCTTGACATTTTCATTTTTCATAATTTTGAAAATGTTTAATAATTTTTCGAAATATTCAAATGTTGTTAGCATTTGAAAAATGTTCGTTTTTTACAATAATGTTCAAAGTTTTAAAAATTGTTCGCATTATTAAAATCGTGTTAAAGCTTTTAGAAAAACGTTCCTGTTTTCAAATAAAATGTTCAGGTATTAATATAATGTTCGTATTTCCAAAATTGTTTCAGATTTTCAACCAAATTCTCCATTTTAAAATTTGTTCTTCGTTTCTTGTTGCTTTTTTCTCTATGTTTATCTTTTATTTTCAATTTCAGTTTTATTTCTCAGATTTCTTTTTCTTTTTCAAAAATGTCCGAATTTTATAAATTTTGTTCATTTTTATATAAAATGTTTCTGTCCTCAAATTTTATTTGCTTCGTTTTGAAAAATGTTCGGTAACTCAAAAAATGTTCACCTTTTAAAGTTTTGCTCACAAACCAAAAGTTATTTGTTTTACTAAAAGTTCCTATTTTTATAAATTTGTTCGGAAATTAAAAAGGAAGCACATGTTTAAATTTACTTCATAAATTAAAAAATGTATGGAAATTTCAAAAAAACAAATGTTCCTATTTCAAAATTATTCTCATATTTTGTAAAAAAGAATCACCTTTAAAAATGTTTATAAATTTTAAAAATGTTCCTGTTTCAAATTATGTTTTCAATTTCCAAAAAATGTTCGCCTTTCAAAATATGTTCATTACTTTTGTTCTAAAATTCCAATAATGATCATAATGCTTGCTTTTTCTAAATTTTGTTTACAGATGCAAAAAATGTGTCCTTTTTGTCCAAAATGTTGTTTTAAAATTGTTCATTTTTGGGCATTTGTTCATAAATCCGAAATGGTTTTTTATTTTTAAATTTGTTCGCAAATTCAAAAGTTGTTCGTGTTTGTAAAAAAAATTGGAATTGAAAAAAATGTTCCTGGTTTCAAAATCTGTTCACAAATTCAGACATTCTTTCCGTTTTGAAATTTTGTTACCAGTCCAAAAATTGGCGATTCTTTCGTACTTATTCGTGTATTTTGGAAATTGTTCATAATTTCTTTTGAAAGTATTCAGAGTTTTATTTAAATGTTCAAGAAAATGGAAAATATTTTGATATGTCGGCTTTGGTAGTGCTAAGAGACTTCGCGCTGCATTGTTGACGGACGAGATGATCAGCTTCAGTGGTTAGGTACCACCTTTACTAGTGCCAGGTCATGAATTCGAATCCTTGGCGAGCCATCTCTTTTTTGCGTTGTTTCTTCCACCACCGCGTGCTTCTGCGGGGGCCGGCCCAGACAAAGAGTACCCTCTGCGAAACCCCGCTAATCTGGACAGATAGGAGGTCTCTTTGAAGATCCCTTGCATGTCTCATTTTTTTTAGAGAAAAGACATTAGTTGAACCTTGAGAAAAGGCTCAACCTAGTCCGACTTCTCTACTATCTAAAAGAAATGCAACGTTCCCTCTTACGTCGATTGTTTTGTCGATAATCCGGCCCAGACAAAGAGTACCCTCTGCGAAACCCCGCCAATCTGGGCAGATAGGAGGTCTCTTTGAAGATCCCTTGCATGTCTCATTTTTTTTAGAGAAAAGACATTAGTTGAACCTTGAGAAAAGGCTCAACCTAGTCCGACTTCTCTACTATCTAAAAGAAATGCAACGTTCCCTCTTACGTCGATTGTTTTGTCGATAATCCTGGGCGAGCCATCTCTTTTTTGCGTTGTTTCTTCCACCACCGGCTGCTTCTGCGGGGGCCGGCCCAGACAAAGAGTATCCTGTGCGAAACCCCGCCAATCTGGGCAGATAGGAGGTCTCTTTGAAGATCCATTGCATGTCTCATTTTTTTAGAGAAAAGACATTAGTTGAACCTTGAGAAAAGGCTCAACCTAGTCCGACTTCTCTACTATCTAAAAGAAATGCAACATTCCCTCTTACGTCGATTGTTTCGTCGATAACCCCGTGTCTTCCCTTCGTGCAACCTCTCTCGATTCCCTTAATTAATAGCTCGTGTATACTTTTCATCCCTCAATTTTTGATGGAGTCTATATTGAGTCCCTCAACTATGAAACTGGCTAACTTGCACCCTCAACTCTTGAAATCGGACAACTTTAGTCCCCCACTCAACTGAAGCAGCATCTATGCTGACTCAGCATGGTATTGACCGGGTCATGTCCACGTGGCAATATTTCTAGTTCTTTTCATCCATCTCCAGTGTAGACGTTTCATCAAACAGTTGATGTGCATCGCTGCACCATGCCACAACCGAGCGTGGCTATTAGTCTACGAGCCAGCGCCGCCACCATTGGTGGCCGAACCCGACGTGCTTGGGGGGCGCCGGGGCGAGTGGTTTTGGCGTGAAAGAGCCGCGGGTCCGCCAAGTCAGCGAGACGGCCGCTTTGTTGTCCTCATCGCCTCGGTTCCTGTAAGAATCAATGTCAAGGCTGCCGTGCTGCCGCCGCCGGTCAGCCTTGCCATTGATTTCTCATCACGGACGGCGTGTCGCGGGGCGGCGCGGCGGCGTGTCGCGGGGCTGCGCGGCGGCGCCTCCCCTCCCGCCACACGTACACACGGGCGTGGCTATATAAGCCGGTGGCCTCCCTCGCCTCTGGCCACACCAGCCCCGACGCTTCTTCCCACCCTCTCCCTCACTCCCAAGCCCGATGGTCGCGCGTTTCCCTGGCGACGCGGCGATGGCCAACGGCTTCGGCCGCCGCTCGATTCATGAGTGGGAGGCGTGGCTCCTGTTCAAGGCGAACATCCCGGCGCCACCGGACATGCGCGCCGGGCCGACGGGGTGGAGACTCAGCAAGGGGGGAGTGCCCATTCCCCCGGTGCCCAACGTCGAGGCGCGCCCCGCCTACTTCGCCGCCGAGATCGACCGCGTGCGAGACTCCCTCACAGAGGAGCAACTCCCCTCCCCCAGTATGCCACCGACAACCACTCGGCATGGGCGGCGTACTTCCATCGCCGCCAGGAGCAGAGGCTGGCGTTCACCAACGGGGCGCTAGTGGTGGGCGACGTGAAGACCAGCGAGGGGCGCCGCATGTGGTGGGGCACCCCCGGTCGCACGCTCGACGGTGTGCTGTTGTACCTCGAGGGCAGAAACGAGCATACCCTGCCACGACGGCCGCCCCGGCCCACCGCAGGCATGGCAGGCAATGGATGCCCAGGAGGTTTAGTTCCTCCTCGCACTCCTCCTCCCATTCTTCTTCCCACTCCTCCGGCTCGCCGGCGTTGCTCGGTGTCAAGGCTGAGCCCGCATCGGAGACGCCGTTCGGCTGGCGCACTCGCAGCGCCGACATCATCATAAACGAGGACGGCCGGCGCGCCTCCTCGTCGGCTCCTCCGCGCTTCGTCAAACCAAAGACGGAGTCGGGGCTCGTGGCCGTGAAAACGGAGCCGGGGCTCCCCGCCGTGAAGACGGAGCACGACGAGGAGCTCGACGAGGAGGTGGCCCTGAAATGGGCGCGCGACGACTATCTCAAGATGGAGATGGAGCGCCAGCACGCCGCCCTACAGCGCTACGAACAGCGCCGCCGGGGCCACGACGAAGGAGGCGTCGTCGTCCTCGACGACAGCGACGACGACGACGCGCCGCCACCGCCACCGGCCCGCCATGGCAACACCGGGCAGGGATCCAGTAGGGGTGGCCGCGTCAAGGAGGAGAAGGCCGTCGCCGACGACGTCGGCGAGGATGGCGGCGACGGCGGTGACTACGCCGCGTTCAGCGACTTCTTCGCCCCTTAGTTTCAGCCTTTCTTTTAGATAAATTTGCTATGTAAATTGTCGAACATGTCTAATATATGCCAAGTTTGCCGAATTTTAGCCGAGTTCAGCCGAACTTTGCCCAATGTTTTTTTTAACTTAGACGGCGCCTGGGGACGGCCCTGCGGTCGGCGACTGGGAACCCACTCGCCACCAGGCCGATCTTTTGCGCCGGCTCGCCCCCAGGCGGCGATTTTACGCGCCCCCGGGGGGCCAACGGCTGGAGATGCTCTAACACCTCTGGCTTCTACATCGAGCGATGAACATAACCAAGCCACCTAGAGCCCGTGGAAGCCTAGTCTTAAAGGTTGGACAAAGATCTCAAAGGATATGAGTTGGCACTAGCTATTCTCAAAAGGGGTTCTTATGCTGAAAGTGCTATTGTGAGCACGAGCTCACACGAGCGAGCTTGGATGAACAGTAAATTTCAAAAAATTAGTAAACCATTTCAAAAAATTCTGATTTTTTTTACATCAAACATTGATGTTTTTCTATGCAGATGCAAAATTTTGCTATGCATGGAATCACATTTTTGGAGGTGTGGGCAAAAAAACCGATGCTACACAAATGTGATTCATCCTGAAAATTTGCACGCATGTGGAAAAAACATCAATGTTTTGCCAAAAAAAATCAGAAATTTTCATTTATTTTACTATTTTTTTCAGAGTTTATGTTCATCCGAGCTCATTTGAGCTCGAACTCACATATTCCATATGTCCTTATGCAGGCTTGGGACACCAGGTATCCAGATTTTCTTGTAATCTAACTGTGGTAACTGATTGTAATTTATTTCTTTATATTTAATGTAATTATGCATTAGGAAAATAACCTAGTGTCTGCCATAAAAGATCTCATACGTTAGCAAGAAAGAAGAAAAAAACACAAAAAGAAGCAATGTTAATGCGTAGTAATTGAAGAGTATTTCTAAACTGTAAGAGAGTTTAGGACTCAAATTAAACCGCTAGAAGTGCAATAGTTGTAGCACTTACTACCATAGGAAGCTAGTGGAGCGCGGTAGTCGCCCATGGAAATCACCTCCGCGACACGGTCCCTGAGATAGAGCCGTGGAGGTTTTGTGGTGTTGTCGCAGATGAGAGCAAAGCCAGTATGCCGGGAGCAGTCAGGGCTGATGCCGAAGGGAAATTGGATTGGTTGACGGCCACATTTGGATGGACAACTGGCAGATGGGAATTTCCGGATGCCTTGTCGGTTTCTTGGAGCGGCAGGCGTGGTGGTGGTGCTGGTGATGCAAGAAAGCAGCAGTAGCAGCTGAAGCACGGTGTTTGCCATCTGCCACTAGATCGAGTGTGAGAGAGTTGAGCAAACAGAAGCACAATGTGATAATGGCTTGCAGGTGTGCGGAGGAGAGCCGCGCTGGCTTTGGCTTTGTATGGTAGCTGTGGCACGCGATTAGTCTTCCCTGTCCACGCTCGTCCGCGTGAAATGCTCTGTGTGAAAGTGTATATTGGCCAGCTGGAGAATATTTGGGAAGTTCTAGGTTTCTAGCATGGATCTGGTTTGCACGACGGTGCAGATAAGTCTGAAAGGCTTCCGCGCACATGGCCGCCGACATGCGCGTCTAGGGTAATCGATTGCCTTTCCTGACGCGGCTGGTTGACTGACCAAGAAAAGAGTCGGTCTTGGTGAGGAGAATATGAACTGATTGCAATTATGCACGGTCGGACCCAGCTAGCCCGACACACAGGGAAGAAGATACAGAGGAGCAAGATTCCTATCCATCGAGACCTAGGGTTGGCGTTCAACAGCTATGTCTGTCTAAGTGAAGATCTGCCCTTGAATTCATTCATACGCAGTTACAAACAACGCGCAGAAAGGTTTAGGCCTGTTACCATACAAGCTTTTATATTTTCAAAACGGTTACGTGACTAAATTCAAAATGAAGGAAAACGAATAATGCTGTCAAGGCTTCTCTCCAAAAGTTCAGAAAGGCTTTGCAAATCTTTCTTTTGGCCCAGTGTCCCATAAAAATCCCCATTCAGCTGCGCAATGAACAACGGGGTTTTGATACAAGGATGTCCACATCCTGTCACCTGGAGCAAGGCTAGAAGTCCAAGGATTATTCAAAGCTGGGCAGGACTGGTACATTATGCTTCTATCAAATGGGTCAATAAAAGCAGCTTGCATTCCAAATGAACTGTTGGAAATGTGAGCAATTTACCAAATAATTTTGCTAACGGAAATACTAGATAAAGCATGACTAAAATAGCAAATATAAAGCAAGTCATGCAATCTGACAAAGAGAAGGTAAACATCGTCTGCATATATGAACTTGAACTAAACACATCTAGAACAGACACCAGATGAAGTTGCTTATACGACATATAACCTAACATACATAGGGCAGATACTAGAGCCAAGAACTGTAGCAGGACTTCTAACAGAAAGGAGAAGAACACGTACGGCACAGCAGCAGCAGAGGCGCTGGACTTGGGGTCGGTGTCCTCGCCTGCCATGTCGTCGAGGAGGTCGTGGACGTCGGGGAAGAAGTCGTCGGCGACCGGATCGTCCTTGATGAAGCAGCCAGTAGTTGCACTGAGCGCTCCCCAAAAACCTTATCACCCTTCTCCCGTACAGGACTCAAAAGGTGCAGTCTGGGAGGCCTACTGTCCCGACGTGCGGTGCACGCCACAAGCCGGGATGAGGAAGACAGCAGCAGCTCAGAGATGGAACCGATGGTGAGGGAAGGAGTAGTTCTGGTGTGTCTCTCTGAGAGGAGCGACATCCCTTTTATATGCGCAAGAGAAGGAGGCGAGAGGCTGCGCCGGAAGCTGAAGGGAAAGCGGGAGACGAAACGAACAGGCAGCAGCCGAAGAGGCGCGCCGTTCGGATTCGGTGTCCACGCACAGAAAAAAATGTTTCAGCTTCCGAGTGACCTTTCGTATACCCGTAGTGCGTGGCAAAAATTTAGACATCGGCTCGGCTCATTCCCGCAACGCACGGCGCGTCGTGACGAGGCATGGCGTGGCGAGGCGGGCGGCGGAGGAGGAGCGCGCATGGATGTCCATCTTGTTCTCATGCTCATACAAGTGGGGAAAGAACCTCCCTTATAAGGAGATCCAATTTCCACTCAACTAGAAATGTGGGACTAAACATTAGTAGTATCCCTTGCCTTGCACAAAATGGGCTAAGTGGGTCTCTAGGATTTATTTAGGAATTTCTGAAATAGTTATTGGGCTGCCCAAAGTATACTAAATTTCAGCAATCCCCCACTAGATCCCAGAGGTACACAGAAATTTGCCTTTGGTTCCAAAACACTGTTTTATATACCGGTACTGCAGTGGAGGCTGTTAAGTTGAACTTCCACCTAAAACTCTATGCTACACTAGTACGCAACTTGAACAGTGGACTGGGCCTTGAACTGCAAGTTTTCTGCGAATCTAGCTTCACATAAAGCCTTGACCGACACGTGGCTACCGTGGGTCTTCCCCGCGGGTGGAGCTTATGCGTCATACTTCGTGACCTTTCATGAGTTACTAGAGAAAAGCCTACTCTCATAGATTGCGACGTTTAACAATCAGACTCATATATGTGCGTTCTTCAAAAGATGTTCTGCAGGACAACATCTCTGCTTCAAAAAGCCACTTAGAACACATTAAGATATACATCAACCTGCCATGCAGATTAGGAGAGTATTGCATCTTCATGGAGTGGTATTTTTAACAGTAAGCATACTGTCCTCTTAGTTGACCACCAGCTTGTCTTCCACATCTAATTCATGGGATCTCCAATCACAAAGAATAGGTTACCACTGTGAACAACTCATATTGTGGGTCTCATTCCCATCTCCCTCGATGCATTATCCCTTAGTAAAAGGATCTGCCAGATTTTTAGACGTTTGGATATAATCCAATGCAATAACTCCGGAGTTTTTCATTTTTCTGACAGACTTTAAACTTCTCTGGACGTGTCTTGATGACTTCATGTTATCCTTTGAGCTGCTCAGTTTAGTGATCACAGTTTGATTGTCACAGTTCATAAGGATACCCGGTACAGGTTTCTCAACTATTGGCAAGTCATTCAAGAGCCGACGAAGCCAATCTGCTTCGACCGTAGCTGTATCTAGTGTTGTGAGTTCTGCTTCCATTGTTGACCTCGTTAAGATGGTCTGCTTGCAAGACTTCCAAGAAACAGCGCCACCTCCATGAGTGAATACATAACCGCTCGTGGCCTTTATCTCATCAGCATCTGAGATCCAGTTTGAGTCACTATACCCTTCAAGCACCTTTGGATGCCTAGTGTAGTGAATTCCATAATTTGCAGTGCCTTTCAAATAATGCAAAACTCTCTCTAGAACTTTCCAATGCACATCTCCTGGTTTTGAGATAAACCGGCTCAGTTTGCTAACAGCAAAAGAGATGTCAGGTCTCATAGCACTGGTTAAGTACATAAGTGAGCCAATAATCTGTGAATATTTCAATTGGTCTCTAGCAATTCTTCGATTCTTTCGAAGCAACACACTAGCATCATATGGTGTTGGAGAGGGCTTGTAGTCACTGTAGCCAATGCGACCCAAGATCTTTTCCACATAGTGAGATTGAAGCAATGTAATCCCACCATCATCGTCTCTCAACAACTTGGTGTTCAGAATGACATCAACCACTCCTAAATCCTTCATCTCAAAACAGCGAGATAGGAAATCCTTGACCTCCTTAATAACATTCAGATTTGTTTCGAAAATCAGTATGTCATCAACATACAAGCAAAGCATAACTCCCTCGCCCCCACCATGGAGATAGTACACACATTTGTCAGCTTCATTCACAACAAAGCCTGCAGCTGTTAAAGTTCTTTCGAACTTCTCATGCCACTGTTTGGGTGCTTGCTTGAGTCCATATAAAGACTTCTGCAACTTGCACACTTTCCCTTCCTGACCATCTATTACAAACCCATCTGGTTGTTCCATATAAATTTCCTCATCCAACTCTCCATTTAGGAAAGCAGTCTTAACATCCATTTGATGAACGAGAAGACCATGTGAGGTAGCTAGTGAAAGTAGAACTCGAATAGTGGTCAGTCGAGCCACAGGTGAGTAAGTATCAAAGAAGTCTACACCTTCCTTTTGGGTATAGCCCTTAGCCACGAGCCGAGCCTTGTACTTTTCGATGGTACCATCAGGCCTAAGCTTCTTCTTGAATACCCATTTCCATCCTATAGGTTTGCACCCATAAGGACGATCAGTTATCTCCCAAGTTTCATTCGCCAAGATGGAATCCATCTCGCTACGAACCGCTTCATTCCAGTAGTCAGCATCTTCCGATGCATAGGCCTCCGAAATAGAACTGGGAGTATCATCTATGAGATACACAAGAAAATCATCACCAAAGGACTTTGTTGTCCTCTGTCTCTTGCTCCTAGTAGGAACTTCATTGTTCTCCTCCACAGGACTTTTAAAGTGTTCCATCGAAATGGCAGGTTCAGTAATTGTAACTGGTTCCTGAATCGATGAACTAGGCATCTCCTGATTAGATGAGGTAGCCATATCCTTCATGGGAAAGATATCTTCAAAGAAAGTCACATCATTCGACTCCATGATCGTACCAACATGCATGTCAGGTACCTCAGATTTTACAACCAAGAATCTATAACCAATGCTATGAAAAGCATATCCCAGGAAAACGCAATCCACTGTCTTTGGTCCAAGCTTCCGCTTCTTTGGAATTGGAACATTGACTTTCGCCAAACAACCCCATGTTCGCAGATAAGAGAGTTTTAACCTTTTCTTCTCCCATTCCTCGAATGGAGTTATCTCTTTGTTCTTTGTGGGGACTCGATTTAGGACATGACATGCTGTCAATATCGCCTTCCCCCACCATGCCTTGGAGAGAGCCGATGTGTCTAACATGGCGTTAACCAAATCAGTTAGAGTACGGTTCTTTCTTTCGGCCACCCCATTTGACTGAGGTGAGTAGGGAGGCGTCCTCTCAAGGATTATACCATGTTCCGCACAAAAAGCATCAAATTCATTGGAAAAATACTCTCCACCACGGTCGGACCTAAGCCTCTTGATTTTCCGATCAAGTTGGTTTTCCACTTCAGCTTTATAGATCTTGAAAAAGTTCAAAGCCTCATCCTTAGATTTCAAAAGATACACACGACAGTATCTAGTGGAGTCGTCAATTAACGTCATGAAATATTTCTTTCCACCTTTTGTCAAAACACCATTCATTTCACATAGATCTGAATGTATAAGTTCTAGTGGTGCAAGATTTCTCGTCTCTGCAGTCACATGAGACTTACGAGGTTGCTTAGCTTGCACACACACTTGACAC